AAGTAAACAATACTATGCACATATTTCAGATTTGCACTCGGAATTCGTGATTTATGAAAGGCCTCGCTACAAAGTTGACCCATAAATATGAAAATACGCTAAGCCTCGGTTAAATTATTGTTGAAGTACGTGGCAGAGCAATTAATAACTATTGTACGTTATAACTATTCAAGGTGCACATGATTTATAGACTCCGGCCGTAGCTAGTCAACGAGTAGATCGATAAATTTGTCGATCTATACATACTATCTCGTAACATTGCCTCCGCTGGAAACTTTGTATATTATTCTTAATGCCTAAGGGTAATAAAAATAATGGAGGGTAAGCAGAGTGCAGCACCTGTAGATCCAGTTGTTATAATTTATATTCTCGGGCGCGTAAAAATTCATTCTTGCAGCATGCTCGGACGTACTTGGAACGCGGGGCTCTTTAAAAATTCAAAATAATGGCAAACCAGAGATTCGTACTGTATTACGGCGCGAAGAGAAATATGAATATCGAGCTTTTTCCCTGTGTTCTCTTGTTTGCATATACTGTTAAGAAAAATGTTTACCTAACATCTAAGAACCAACTTTGTTTTCCTGCTCCATTTCCTTTTTTCCCCGCGGAAAGTAGCACAAGCTGCAAACACGAAAATATTTAGTGGCATGCCTGACGTAACGGAGGAGCTCATAGAAAATTGATTGTGGACAGGGAGCTAAAAGCTTCGGGTCTGTTTTTTCAAGTGCACCGGCAGAAATTAATTTTAGCGCCCACTGGAAATAATTATTCAGCGAATGGAGAGTGCCCGTTAATATTTCGCGAAACCGTAATTATATACTCTCTTTCTTCAACGCCGTTGTTTTTTATCCTTTCGTGAAATTGCATTTCTATTTAGTCGAATAAATCTCTTACCTGAGCGTTTCGGCCGATTTCTTTCTTTGAAAAATGAAAAGCTGCAATGCTGAATTTAAAGTGTGGCGGATCTGATAAATGTTAATTTAATAAATAGCTTATAGAATAAAGATTTGAATAATAATTTATAGTGTTTCCTTCATTAAAATCATTATTAACGGTTAAAAGGTAATTATTAAATTTAATCAATATCGAATAATAAGTTTTGAAAAGTTTCATGTTTAATATAAAGAAAGAACTTTTTTGACGTATTACAATTGTCTGTAATCTCGTCTCCTTTCATCGTTTCAAGGGTTCAATATTAATTCACTGGCAATTATTACATTACGCTACGTGTTACGAAAAAAACAGAGTCACGTTACGAATTATTCAAAGCAACAAAAATAATTAACTGAATGCGTCGAGGAAAATATGCAAGGCGAACTCAAGCTCCATGTTTCCTCCTGAAAATTCAGGAGTTATTTTATCGAGTGCTAGAGGCTGCAAAAAATTCTCGAGGTAAATAGAATATTGGCTGTGCGGTTGTGCATCGACGCGAAGAGTCGTTTTTAGCATCAAAGCGTCCACGGTGGCCTTGAACAATTTACGTAGACCGGTCGTCCACCATGGTTTGTGGCAAGGTTTGAGATATAATAACTGGCTTGACTAAAATTTGTACATATATTATGTACGAATTTATCAATGTACTGGATAATCATTAAACTCGATATTATTCAATAGTAAACAATTTTTTAGCCACATTTTTCCGCACAAAGAAAACATTTTTCAAGTCTGCGTATAAGTATAAAATATCTCAAATTTATTTATTCACAGATTATCAACACACGAACATTAAATGCGCCCCTAATTATATAAACACGAGGGTTTGGTGATTGCACATTTTCACCGGAGTGTATAATCAAATAATAAATAAAGTTTGCATTCCGTGTATTTATAACATGTATACAATGTATAGAAGCGAAAAGGATTGAATAAATTCATTAGAAAAATTTGGAGATTTCTGTGTTGAATTTTTAAAAAATTGTACTGTTTTGTTTATGCATGTATATTCGTAAAAATGGCATTCTTAGTCAGAGAAAACAATCCTTACTTAAGTGTTCTCTTTAATCAATTGATTTAAAGAAATAGAAAGTTCAGGTATATGAAAAAAAATGTAGGATACTAATAATTGTAAATGAAACTAGTGTGAAACTATACTTTTAACAGATCTACAGTGCAAACTGTTAACGGAGACTCAGAAACTGAGAACTGCACGGTTTCCACGTTTATTGATCTTTCATTAAACTGGACATTTTTCTCGTTTTCAAATAAAAATTCAATTTATTAGTTCTTCAGCCAATGGAATTTCGATGATTTAATTGTCGCAGTAAATCAATTCTATCAATTTTCTGTACATCAAGCGAGACTTGCAAAATTCCAAACAATCTAAAATGCACAGAACTCTCCGAGGTACTGACATTCAGTTAGAGATATTACTACAAAAACATTTCTTCATTTTTATAATACCAGAATAAAGTAATAAAAACATTTTGTAAGCATTTCATAATATTCTCAAAGTTGATATTCTTTTATAGTGATCTACATATCCATCAAAATGACAAAATATAAGGAGTAAAATAATATATTACATAGTTTATTATTTTATTAGTATTATTTTTTCAAAAGATTCGCGGATAAAATTTGCTCCTATTGCATCAGAGTAACAGGTTTTAAATTAAACGTAACAGATGTGACGGAAGAACCGATTCCACTGTCGCTCAGTCATGACATCGTATGATTGGGCAATCCGAATAAGAAAACCGGATAAAAAGAAATATTCAAGGCACGTCTCCACGTTCGATATTATCTGCACTCGTGCGATTCGTTCGTAAGATACATCGAAGATGCCGAGAGTAGGTGGAGATACCCGTCGTGAGGAGAATTAAGTTCATCAGGTTCACAAAATATCAATTGTACAATCATTGTCCGGCCATACGTGTACGTTATGTTAAAGAAAATCCGATCCAGTTGCGAGATATCGAGTACCACGCCGTGAACCCCGCCGCGAAAGGGGGAATTTAAGATCTCCATCCGGCTAACAAAGTTTCAATTTTATGACAAGCATCGGTATCATCGATTAATCCCGATAAGCCGCCCTTCAATCACTCCAGCTTAATGCCTCCATGCTCCGACGCCGGTAATACGTACAACGTATGTTTTATATGCTGTCAGTTGTCATATATAGTAAACTGTCCATTCATACCAAAAAGATGGTCTAAATGGTTTAAATTAAAAATATTAATGATCACTTTAAAATACATCTCCCGTATAAATATTCATTTCAATGTAATATAATTTTATTTATAAATATATACTACTGCGAACGCATCTCGATTACGAAAAATTTAAAATCCTGTTTCCACTACTGAACAAATTCCACTACAAAAATGATTTTAATCATACCGAGCAAAGATTAAATATTCTTTATCTAACAAAACTCTCCATTCCAATATTAATCGCCAATTTAATAAATTCGTAAAATCTCGTCTTAATCGATTCATTTAATCTCTTCCTGTTTCACAAACAGTACCAAAAAAAAAGGAATTCCAAACACCGCTTTATCGTTCATCGCAATAACTCTCCGGAGCAAAAACTCTGGCGATTAACAATTTCATCCGCGCGCCCAATCAACGGAAGCCCCAAATATCGGCGTATCGATCGCCGCTGGAAAGCTCACGTCGCAAACAAGATATCTTTCGGCTCCAATTCACCGGTCGGCACTTTTCCGATTCACGATTCCGCTCGGCCGATATTTCCACGATTCCGTGGAAATTCTGAATACCGTTGGTTGCGTCGCGCCGGGCCAACGAGCGATAAACAGTTGAACGCGCCGTACGTGAAAAAAGAACCGCGCGGCGGCCGAGCGATGCTCGCAACGTTGCACGAACGAACAGTGCCAGTTTTACCGATTCGATTCAGCCGTGGATCGGTTAATTTGCAAGGCGGCTGGCCGCGTCCGCGTAGCAGGTGGAGAGATACCTGTCATGAAAGGGAAATTAAGGCTCATCGTGCCAACAAAGTGTCAATCTTACGATGGCCTCCGCGGCCGGCCCACACGGGCCGTACACGGCGCGCAACAACCGAGTAAAATACAAATACCGTGTTCGCCCGATGGTCAATGCCACACAACGTACACGCTTCACGTGGGCAGAGACTAATGGTGGCCCATAAGCGCGGATCACCGAACGGAGCAACAGTCTCGCGCGTACGTATCTGCGCGCGGTAATCTCGATGCCAAATGCCGTACACGCTTCACTGCCACGTGATTAATGCACCCTATTGAAGCTAGGAGAGTACCCAAGGCTGAACCTCCGAACTTCATGCTCACCGAGTGAGGCCTGTTATCGATATTTAAAGAAACATCGCCAGGACACGGGGTCTCCTTCGTAAGCGACTGGACAGTTGTAGGGCCGAGTACGATGAGGTTATTTATCAGTGGGTGGGGCGTAGTGTTCGCAATTATGAGCAGCGTAATTAGGGAAACGGTTTATGCGGAACGAATGGGGTTCGAACTTTGTTTTGTGATTCGTTTACGAGCAATATACGGATCAGCCTCGATTAATTCTTTGAGGGGAAATTTTCATACATATTCAAGGAATGCCAGGCAATTTTACACAAAGATGCATGATTATAAAGAAAAATTTATATTTCGGTGAATTTTTATCTAAATTTAATTATAATTTTATCTAAAATTTATTCAATTTATACATAATAGTAAAAATATGTTAGACTCTTTTTATCACTAATAAAGTCAAGGAACTTTTCACGAGTGCATGCGGGATGTATCGCTGCTTTATTCAAAGGTTTAATACTAAATTTGCAGACGTTGGTTATAGACTGTATTATTACTGTTATAGTTTTATATTGTTAGTAAAGGTGCTAAGAAATAATATTTGTATTATTTAAAATTTCTCGAATGGACGGAAGTTTTGTAAGTTCGAAGTTGAATGTTTGATTTTTAATATTTTTTATTGGGTGTCGATGTTGCCAAAGAAATTTTGTGCGATTGAAACACTGAAGGAAGATTGATGCTAAGGAAAACAATGAAATTAGAAAGAAAAACTCACCGGCGCCTTCCCGTTGGGCTTCTCCGCGTCGTTGTTCTCCAGTAATGGAGCGCTGCTACTCTTTCCGCCCATTTCGATGGCCAAGGGCTCTGGTTTCAACTGAAGACTCGCCGCGGATGGGGACGACGGTGCACGAGGAGGTGTCTCCAACAATTCGCCAGAGCTCAGAGAACTGCTCGCTGTCGTGGACAGACCTATTCACGAGACCAAGAAAATCACTCATTAGAAATCACTAATTGGAAAAGAGAAATCGGAGATAGATGCGTGCGCGGCGACCAATATCAACTAACTCCTAATGATCAGACAAATTTTACAACCTGAGAAATCAACACTATTTTTCGTTTTGTAGTACGAGAAAATTCACAGATGTAGATGATGCATCGGCATATGGGTAGAAAATAAATACAGTTGAACAAGATGTGACGAAATAGAAACATTAATAAAATTTAATATGGAATATCTGTTCAACTGGTAAAGTAATCTATTTGTCAGTCTAATAAAGTTTATTCATTTTTCGTCTTTTTAAGTAGTAAAATCTAATGTACAAGTCAAAGATTCTGTCACCAACTCCAAATTTATAGAAAACTTTACATTCACCATTAAAATGCAGCATAGTCTATATTTAAAAACTAAATCCCTAATATATAGTTAGAATAAATAACTGTATTTAGAATTCAAAAAGACTACAACTGTAAAGTTTCCATCCTCTCAATCCTTCCATACAAAATACCACGTACCGCCACAGCGAAAGCAACATTGAATCTAATTGTACCGTATACGTAACTATATCATTAATATTTCCCACAAATGCACAGGAATCCGCAGGCCAGTTATAAAACACAGTTAATTCCGAAATAAAAGCATTGCGCAACGTTACTAGACGTAAAAATGCTAGACAGCTGCGTCGCTAAGGGGCGTCGTATAAATTCAACGTCCATTTCATTTCAGCTCGCTTCTCCCCGTGGGATTATGAATATTTATACGCTCCATGTATTTCCGTCGGGGTCCGGGGGCAACGGTAATTCTCGCCGAAAATTTTTCCGGCATCGGACGCGCACACGACGGTTAATTGGTTTGCAAACGGACGGGACAAAAGTGGTGTTTGACTTCGGGAAATATTGTCGTTGCGAAAACGTCCGCGAGCAATTTGCATCTGCATGGAACGCGTGGATGTTTAGAGGGTCGATTAGCGGGTCGATACATTGGCGAATCGTTAATGGCGGACTCACACAGCGGCAGATTCGTCGGGCGCAGCGGCTTGATCCTCGGCAGGGTGTCGTCGAGGCCGCTGCTGCTGTCCACCGCGTCCTGGGAATACTGGTCGTCGGTTTCTTTCGTCTGCGTATGCACGCTCTCGCGTTTTATCCACACGTCCTGGGAATGCTTGTCGTTTCGCGAATTCAATTTTGACGGCCGTCGCCGAATCCGCTCCCACGTCTCCTTGCGGTGACACTTGTTGGACGACGGGGCTGCGGTCAACAAACGGAACCGTTTCGACTTTCCCGATCATTTTGCTATTATTCGTGTTTCTATGCTACTATGAACAGTTTTTAATTGCATAATCATATTGTCCCAAGGATGTCTACTGTTTAGTTTTATTTTAAAATGGAATAGGCAATGAATTATTGCATGCTGACCGTAGATTTTGTGAATTGTTTATTTTTCCCAGACATAATTTTTTAGACATTTAATTTGAAATGGAAATTGGATTTTAAATTTTAGGAATTATTTGATAAATAAATCATTCTACATGTTTTTTTTATAAATTACGGTTAAGTTAATATTGCGATAATTTCAATAATCCATAAATGCATAACTCCCATTTGACGTAAAATATGGAAATATATAAGTTTCTGATTGAATGGAATCTTCTGGAGTTTCAAATTATATAAAATATATTTTATTTCCTTTGCTAGACAAAATCAATATAGCCTAGGCAAATAGTAGTGGTTCCTCGTCTTCAATTGTAACAACATATGTTCGAAACTGAGTAATGATTCAAGTCATTCTATTTGAAGCTCTCCATGAAAATGTAATGATAATGTATTTTAAAGTGAATGATAATCAACTTACGCTTAACTATCCGTCGATCTGTACTCCTCGGTGGACTGGCAGTGCCAATGCCACTTTCAAGCGGAGACGCTCTGTCGGTCGTATCCGGCGACAGGCTTCCGGAGGAAATCTCGTCCATGCTCTGAAGTAGATCCTGTGACGAGGACGAGGATCTATTGTCGTCGTCGACGGTGTCTTGCGGAGAGGCTGGATCCAATGTGCTTTCATCTTGCAACGACTGAGAATCCATTTGCGATTCCGCTGGGGACATCAATTTAAAGATAAGAATGAGACAATTTGTAACCGTCAGGCCCCCTGACATTCAAACTTGTATTATTTCACGATCCGAACTCCCGCAAACTAGGAACTGTTTCGCAAACAACAGTTACAAGACTATAGATATAATTTCATTGAATTTAAGGTAAAGGAATACGATACACTCACTTTTAATAAAAATAATCATTCTTATTTTCGTATGAGAACAAACATTGGTAAAACATGGATTTCGAAAAACTAAAATTCTATAAATTTTATATATTAACCCAGTAACCACTTGATTTGATACAGCAAAACTATGAAGTTGAATATTTAGTATTTTAAATTAAACTTTGTATTGCTATGTGAAGTATTTAAATAAAATAGCTTTGTTACTTAATTTATCTGTGAATTATCGTTAAATTAGTTTCGAACAATATCGTTTATATCTCGTTGGAAGATGTCGGGTATTTCCAGTAAAAGAATTTTGAGTGCAAAGGGTTAGAATATCGTCACCTCTTAAAGAAAATTCTGAAGAATGCAAATCGCAAACTTTCGTTTCAACGGTATTAAGTTCAGCAATTAAGATGTGCACAGCAACGTAAACGTGCAATGCGAGTAACTGGTTCAATCAAATTTACCATTGATAGAACTACGAGTCAGAGTGAAACTTCGAATAATGATCGCAACGGAAAGATGGTAGAAGTTTTAAGGACACTCGAACAGACAGGGAACTTACCTCGAGGTGATTCGCAATCGCTGACCCACGTAAAGCTTGAACTTCTCGAAATAGCTGGCGAAGTTTGCGTCGCCATGTCGGAACAAGTGAACGAATCCATAGGTGGGCTGTTCGTGCAACACGACCCAGAGCCATTTCGAATCTTCGATAAGAGAGATTGAAGAGAAATTGGTAGCTGAAAATATATTATCTCGTTACTCAGAGGAGGGCTTTGAATTTAATGAGCTTTCGCCATTGAATTTCTACGAAGCTTCATTTGCAAAGCATAAGGTCACCTGTACTCAACAGATTATGCATAAATTCGATTACTCAAAGTGATTTCATTAAGATATAGAAACAGTATATAGTGACCAACGTATTAAAAATTACTAAACAAAAATACTACAACTACTAAAAAAATTTATCTTACCAACAAAAATAAAATCTTAAAGGGTCATTAAAGCAAATCGACAAAAAACAAATTGTTTAAGCATATATACTATTCTCAAAGCACATTATACAAAAATTGTATCAAAGAATGTAAAAAAATTGTCAATTCCATGTAAACCCGAAGAAAACCATAAAACTGCACCCAAACACGATTCATGTTTTTCCCAAAAGTATTTTCGAAACCGGTACCAAGAATATCACTCTTCTCAAAATAGAACATAATCTTTCCACATTCCCACTTAAAATACCTATCCACGAAAAACAACTGCTTCCAAAATCGTGTGTACGCAATTTTTCAATCATAACACAATTTCGCCAAAAGAAGAAACAAAAATACCGTATAATGGAGCGCATAATTCCAAGCAAAATAAGAAAAAAAAAGGGAAACCGAGAAAAAATCAATCCAGATAAAGAAGTCGTAATCAGAAACTCACCGAACCGGATCTCGAATTCTGCTCGTCCATTATTTTCTTCGCGTCGACGTTCCCCGTCCGCTCGAACTTGCCGGCGTCGGCGCTGCTGGCGACCGACTCGACATTGTCGTCTTCCGGCAGATCGCAGCCGACACCCACGTCGTTGCCCCTCGATCTGCCCAGCGAGAATTTCTTCAGATCGACGGGACTGATCTGCCTGATGTCCTTATCGGACTCGGACAGTCTTTTCGCAGAAGCGTCTGAGCGCAGCGTCAGCGGCGAGACCGCCCTCTTCCTCGTTGTGCTGTCCTTCGGGTTGACCTTCTCGTTCTCCAAATGCAGAAAGTCCTGATCCGGCAACGAGGACACCCGCACAAGGACCACGTCCCCGGCGTTCTCATGAAACACAGGCGTGTGCTTCTTCCACAGCAATTTCGAGAAAGGAGATTTCTTCTCCTCGGTCGGCGTAACTGGCGCCGATCTCGCCCCGTTGCCGTCCGACGGCTTCAACGGAGGAATTTTATCCTCGCCGAAATCGTAATCGAGCTCTGGATGATCCTCGCAGCGACGTATCCTTGCCAGCCTCGGCGTCCTCCTCCGTTTCTGGCTCATCAGGTTCAAAGGAAGACTGGTTTTCCTGTGGGCGTCCGGTCGCTGCCGCGGGGGTAGTTTCGCGTTCGATTCGTCGATAGTTTTATCAGCGTCCACGCCAATGTTCATCGGGTAGATCTTGAACGGCGTGGCGGCTTTGACGTCCATGTCGTCGGGTTGAGAGCTTATTTCTACGTGTTTCTTTGGTCGGTCGTAGCTGTTCAGGTAGCCTGGGCGCGGTAGCTCCCTCTCGTTTAGTTTAGAGGGTAGACTGGTACCGCTGTGTCCGTCGATTCTTGCCCCCATGTAGCTTGTAAGCGACGAAGTGTTCAGCTCGTCGTAATCCGAGGTCAGGACATCTCCTGACGCGTACCGCTTGCATCCGCCGGTCGCGGCCTGCAGGTTCTCCGGTAGACTGCCGCTCTTCCCGCGCTCGGCTTCCGGCGACGCGATCCGATCGCGCGGCTCGTCGTAGTCGGAGCTCAACAGGAAGCGGTACTCCGACCCGTCGGCGAACAACTTTCCATTTCGTCGATCGCGGCCCTCCTTGTTCCGCCGGCCGGATGATCGATCGGTGCCCGTCTCGCACGAGCTTCCCGCGGAACTCTCGCTGTCCGATATGCCGAACTCGTTCAACAGCTCCTTGTACTGCACGATTCTCTGGTCCCCCTTGTTGTCCCGGCGACAACGGTCCGGCTGTTCCTGCCGCGATTTCTCCTTGCTCAGCTCGTTGATCTCGTTCGCGATGATCGTGTTCAGCTCCGCCAGGATGCTATTCGACCAGTCCCCTATGTCGTCCGTTACCGGGCAGCATCTGCCTGCCAGGGGCTGCCTGCGGTACGCGCAACCCTTCGACGGGAGCGGCCGCGTCGCGTACACGTCGCTCGGATATCTTAGTGGCTGGACAACTGGGGGTTGCGTAGGATACTTCGGCTCGTCCGTGATTGTCAGCGGCGTCGTCGGCGCTGATTCGATGATCTCGCCGATCTCCTCCTAGTGAACAGAAATAATGCACGTTGTTAAGAGAGGTTATGGACACTGTGTTTGAAAGATTGGGATTTTTGGTGCTTTGAGTTTTCGAGGGTGTTGGATAGTTTGATATAGATCCTTAAAGGGTCCTTCTGTATTTTAGGAATTAGCGTTGCTGTGAGTATTTAAACAAATATGAATAAATAAATGGGATATTGTAAAAGTATTATCTGGTGTCGTTGATCACCTTTAAACTTGATAAGGATAAATCGTGTTTACTTGAAAAATAGTATTTTTAAGAAAAATAGTGCGAGGGTTTAGTTTTTGTACAGATAATGGATTTACCGTCCTTTTTTCTTGCAAGGAATCAAATATTATGACCGTTTTTAGTTAAATAAGAATAATTTAACTAGCTTAAGTATGGGCGTTAATACAAATGTTATGTGGAATAAGGTTTTCTTTGCAATAACGGAATAATGTACAAGAAATCCAATTGTCTAGAATAAAAAACGTTAACAATTGATAGGATTCTTGATAGATTAAATAAATTTCTGTTCAATTTCAATTTCTTTTAATTAGTTCGTTAATGTCTAAATATATGTGTTATACATAAACATGTGCAATCTCATGAGGACTATGATAAAATCAATTACTTTGATTAGCTTCAATAAAGACACATTAAAAAATGTAATCTGAAATAGTAATATACAGTATGCTAATATTAATTCCTAATGCGAAAATAACGATTTCTATAATTAATTTGAAATAACCTAACACCGCCTTTCATGTGACCATCTGACATATCATAATTCCATAATTAAAGTTAAAGAAATCCTTACGACATCCAATTCTGGTATTATTTATGACCAGGCATCTATTGCCACCAAACATTAATATCGATAAATCAAACATTTTCATAATTTACACCTTACAATAAAGACCTTACAACATTTTACAAAAATATACATGAAAAATTTCATAACTTCTACAATTTTTAAAAACCATTTATATCATTTGCTTTATTAATATTATTATCAAAATGAACTCCATATATATATGAAACTCATATACGACTGACATAAGACTTGTATATTAATTCATATACAAAATTTAATTCCGATTAAAACTGATATCTACCAAAAAGAACCACGAAATTCCATACGTTCACAGTATGCACACTTAAACCACATTTAATTTCATCCATCCCGGCAAAAACTAACAAAAAGACTAACTATTGCCAACAAGTAATATAGAAAAAGAAAACCGAATCGAATCTCGTACCTTTATGGCGCACTTAAAATTCCCTACCCGGCCCGAGATCTAGTGCAAACTTGTCGTAGAGGAAATCGATCGCTGATCACTTTCCGTATTCGTAGACCAGTATAGAAAAATGCGAATCGCCATAAACTTCCGCGGTTTAACGATCGCTTGCGCAACGGCCAGTTAAACAATTAAATGCCTCGGAGCCGAATCACCGTGCGTGGTTAACGCGTCCGCTGGATTAGCGTGAACGTGCCAAGAAAACTCGAACAAGTGTCGCGCGGACCGAACAGGTTTTCTGAACCGGCGATCGAGGTTAATTGATCGTTGTCCAACGGTCGGATAACTCCATAAATTAGAAACATCACTTTCTACAGCCACGGCCCGGGCGGAATAATTGGAAACGAAGCGCGCGCTCGCCCCGATTTTTCATTTTCCAGGGCGCGAGGCGACGTTCATCGAACAGCAGGTTCGCGTCGGTGGCCTGTCAGCATCATAACTGCTTCATTATGGGCCGCTTTATAAATACGCTCCACCGATTTAACCGCGCGTGCACATACCACCCGGTTTCATTTCTCCCGTGTCTTTTCGAACGGCGATGGCCGTCGAAGGGGCCATCATCTTGCTTGCTAACCCGACACCTAGGAATTCAACTTCTCGCGCTGGAAATTAATTCAGAGATTTGGCAAAGTATTGCGGGAAGAGTTTTGTTTTTAACTATTTCACGCAGATATGTACACTAATTTTGTTTATTAATCATTTTGCGTGGAACGATGAATTTCAAAAGAATCTAGTATGTGTAATGCGACGAGACTATTAATATGTACAAGACGTCATTGGCAATTTTGGAATAAACACATCTCGACGTACGTGGTACGTCTCTTTAGAGCAAGACGTTAACGCTACCAGCGTTTGTTTTCTTAGAATTCAAAAGTTAGAAGTAATTTCTGTACACTTATAAAATTCAGTTGTTCGTGCTTATTGATTAATATTAATGTATATGTTGAAAAGTAACGTTCCATATCAGAGGATGTAATGAAGGCGCATTTATATTTACTCGAATACCGTTGGGATAGAATTTTGATCACTCCATATTTTCAATGCTTAATATAATCAGAATTTTTGGTATTTCATATTTCAATATTAATGTTTTAATAAGTAAAATGTTCCGGAAGCTATGTCGTTCAGAGTTATTACTTCGACATTTCCTCCGCTGTTTGTAGTCGTGATTTTGTTATCTAACGTACTAATTCGATTTGTTGGTCTGCTGGTATTAAGTCGAGATGCGCAGCATCTTGAGACGATATTCATATTGCGATACAATCAAAGGATGGAAAAGAGATTTTCTCGGAAGAAATCATAATTTCTTTGTCGATTGAATTCGCCTACGCTTGCGTTATTATTCTGCTATGGACGTTGTCTAAATAACATTGTTCCATCGTTGAATTTATAATGCAGATGTACTTTACCTTTACTGCTTTAGCGCTACAAGGAATCATAGAATGTATTACTGTTTTACACAACGTTCAGAAATATCATTTCTTTCGTGTTGATGTAATTATTAGACTGCTAGAACAGTAATACCGGTTTTGTTAAAGGAATTTGCTATGGAATCAACTATATAACTTTTATTGCTTTCCGCAATTGTATTTCACATGTTTTGTAAGCTTTCCACTTTCTAATTAATTACTGATTAAAAATATTTATAATTTAATGAAACGCCAATATGTTAGATGCTGTGTACTCAAATATATTCATAAACGCAGATAAAATAAGTAGAAACTGTCATTAATACGAAGACGATTTATCTAGTCAAGGAATAAATATATTCCAGGTGCTTAAAGTTACCATACAACTTTGTATAACGATTCATTAAATATTCCTCCACACATTCTGCTGCATCACTATAATCATTCAGTCCTTTAACAATAAATAAAAATATTCTAGCCAGTAGCTTATGTATAAGCCACCGCAATAACACATTTGACAGAACTCAAATCATCAATTTAAAAGACACAACTCTATTAAAAAAAAAAAGATTGAAAGTTCCAAGAGAAACCCAGAAGTTTCGTAACGAGAGAAAATTGAACAAAAAATTGAAAGACATTCTTCCTGCGTTCATTAATCATCGCATCGCGCGATGTTTAACTGAGTCCACAGAATCTTTGAATTGTTGCAAAGAAACTACGATGCACCTCGATTTCACGGGTTGCTCATTCTTCGTTGATTGCTCATCTTAAACTCTTCTCATTTCTCTCTTTTCCACAACAATATTTTCATTAAATGTCACTACCGTTTGATCTCTTAATATTTTTAAATATACTTGATTTACCTGTCGCGATTCGGCGTAGAAACAGGCCAGACATTCAATTTTATATCAACGACTAAGTGTTTCGCTAATTTCTACTATCACCAATTATTATTTCTTATATTATACAACACATCGAAATGAATTCCATCAATATCAAACGAAATGACTGATACCTGCATGTTCTCAGATTACTAAAGCAGCATATTAAGCCACAATTACATGCAGTAACGTCGACGCAAATTGCAGAGTAAAAGGCCAAGAAAACTTCGTTCCGTAAAGGTTCGGTATTATCAGAAATTACATAAATCGAAGCCGATTCCACCGACTCACGATTCACAGTAGAGAGCAACGACTGAAAGATCGTCGTCACCTTCAGCGTAGCGGCGATCTATCAAACGCGCTATAACCACCGGCAATGAAAAGGTTGATTAAACCTATTCCGGCTAGGTGGAATTGTGATTCCATCTAGCGAGATACCGCGACGCTGATACGCTGGTCCCGGTCATTAATCAAACAGTGAACATTATTCGTGCACGAACACCTATTAGAGGGAAGCTTCAATACGGGCCAACAGCCGGCGATCGAACCCACGATCAGCCTGAAAAATCGGTCGCGGTGGATCCCGAGATTTTTCCTCGACGGCCAGAACGCGATATCATTCATTGCGGATCCTTGTTCCCGTTGAAAGGGTGTCTTTTATTTGCATTGATCATCGCCGATGGAGCGATACGATATTATAATTGAAAGCGGGTGGGAATAATTCATGCAATTTAGGTCCGCTGCTCGGGACACCATGTGGCCATGCCGCTTCTTTAAAATTGCATTCCGAGTCGCGCCTTTAAGCAACTCGGGAATTCGATTGAAGCGAGTTAAGCTTAACGAACATTGATACAGTTTGCCCAAGACCCGCGCGCGATATCGATTGCAATTCCCGCTGCGAGGATTGATGGGTCGAGGCTTTTTCCGCCTCTAGGTGTCTCGACGAAAACGGTCGCGCGGGTTATGAGTTCGTCAGGTGAAATCAATTCTGTCGCGCTTCGGTGAAATTTCGATTTTTATGCGAGTTTGTTTGGGATGCAGCTTGGAGGATTGATTTATCGTGTTTTTCTAATGATTTTTGTGAATTAATGTTCGTGTAGGGATCACTTGAATAATTGAAAACAGTTTGATTCTTGTTGCTTGATTGATACGTCACTTTTCTAATGATGTTTTAATGGCGTTTAGATTAAATGAATGGAGAGATAATGGTAGATATTATTAGAAGGTAATGTGCCTTTGATTTCTTTCCAATGGAAAATTACAATCTTTAAATAGAGGATTCATATCGATTTCGTTTTAGTTTTCTTTTTAATGATTCTAAAATAGGTCTTGACAGCTTCAGAATAAACATAATTCAAAATGTTTCATACATAATAAAAGGAGGCTTCAATACGACATTAAGTAATATTTGAAA